CTGTAGAGACACACAAAGGAGAACTCCCATGCACGTGAGCACACACACGGAAGACTCATGTGGGAAAGGGGAGAAGTCGGCCACAGTCTCGCGAGGAGAGCCCTGCTCAAGCCAGGAAGGCACTGCCATGGCCAAGAGGGAAGAGTGCCAGAGCTCCTCACAGACACTGGGCGTGCCAGCCAGGAGACCCTCACCCACCTCCTCCACGCAGAAAGCTTGCCGAGCTGGGAACCCACCGGCTTGCCCCAGGACTGCCACAGAGCAGCACAGAGCCCAGGGCTGTTTCCGGGAGAGCTAGCCAGTGGCAGGACTCCCACCGGCAGCGTGGGGGTGTCCATTTCTGCCGGGATCAACGAAAGGAGCATGGTGAGGTGTTCCAGGGAGAATTCAGAAGACCCCCTCCCAGTTTTTCCGGGGTGTGGGCAGGCTTACAAGAAGATCACAGCAGTTCCCATGCTCCACACACAGAACACGCAGGAAAACAAACACAAAGGACAACCCACCTGCCACCTCTGAGCAGGGCCTTGTCCACATAGGGGGCAGAGGGGAAGAACACTGTGCCAAGAAAATCATGCCCATCACCTCTCTGCTAACCGGCGGTCAGCAGGTCCACCAGTCTCAAGTGGAACCAGACTGAAGCAGATCGTGTGCTCAGGCACACAGCACTCTCTCCTCTGGAGACCCATGGCCTCCACTGGCATCGGTTTCTCCTTGGGGACAGCGGAATTAATAAGTGATGCCTCAGGCCGTATTGAAAGACTGACAGAGATTGCTGCTCTGTCACCCACTCCGGTCACTGCTGTTTAAGCCTCCAGGTTGTCCGTGGCCAGACGGGAGTTGGGGGAGATGGCCACCTGGTGGTCAATGTTGGCAGTGCCACAGAGCAACAGGCAGAAACCCTCGTCTGGGAGCCCTCAGGCTCAGAGCCAGGCCTGACTTCAATTCAATGAACTTGGGCAAGTCACTGCCACTCTGTGAGCCTCACTTTTCTCATCTCAGATGTGGGACAATTATGCTGGCTGCGCAGAGCCATAGTGAGCGTTAAACTAAACAACCACACTGAGGTACCTGTCTGTCTTGGGCAGGCCCTCTGAGTTCCAGCAGGCCTGAGAGGAAGGACCAGCCCCAGAAGACGGAGGGGTGGGAGGCACTCGCAGGGATCCCTGCTCCTCAGCTTTCTCTCACTGGCCACATCCAGGACTGTCATTCTGTGTGCGGAAAACTGTTCTTAACCCGCACACCCGGACACCTGCTGGGTTCTGGGAGTGCAGAAAACTGAGAGAGACCGTCTCCAGAGGGTCTCTCTCAACCACCTGGTTCCAGCTTCGGTCCACCTCTAAGTTGCTGTTCGACCTTCAGTAAGACACCGGGTCGGTGTCTAAGGCTCTCCTTCCTCCCCTGTACGCAGCGGGCGACCACTCCTGTCCTGGGGGAGCAGTGAGGAGTGACCCGGCAACCCCAACAAGGCACGGTGCAGCCCACCACCTCTGGCGCCAGGCGCCCCCTCGGGGAGACAGAGGACAATCTCGCCCGGCTCTGTCCCTCTGTGTCACATCCGCACACTGAACACTCATGGTGCTGTGTCTGCTTTACAGAGAACAAAGGCAGCTCAAGAGTTTAATACATTTCTCAAGGTCTCACTCAGCTGTTGTTTTATTGTTGTTGTTTTTTTAACTTAGAAAGGAAGGAAGGAGGGAGGTAAGGGACAATGGGCTAAAAAGGAAAGAGCTAGCATCTAATTATGACTAAGGCTCTTTACTTGTGTTCCACACTGCCTCTTGATTCCCAGTGTAACCCTAATCTCCTTTCAATGAATTACCTTCTCCAAAATGTCACATAAGTGTTACTCACCCTACTTACTTCTCAGTGTTCAGAGGGACCCACAAGTCAGAGGTCACATTGTCGAGTACAAAGTCCTCTTTTCTTTTCTTGAAATTTAACAGGGATCTGAGGTTTTTTCCATTATTTTTTTATTGGTGTTCAACTACATTTGTCCCCATTTTCTCCCCACCACTTTCCCCTGCCCCACCCACCTCCCACCCTCAATCTTACCACCCCCACTGGCTTTGTCCATGGGTCCTTTATACATGTTCCTTGACCACCCTTCTCCTTCTCTCCTCCATTATGCTCCTCCCCAAAGGCCTCTTTCAAGAGTGGTCTAGAGTGACCGGCATTTAGATGCAAGGCAGGAATAGCGCAGGCCAGTGTCAACCTTGCCATGTCAAACAAAGCGAGGAGGAGAACCAGCCCTTGGCCCCAAGACCTTCCAAAGAAGCCAGGCACAGGGCCGCTGACCAGAGCTTAGCTCCCCTTCAGACATGCAAACCCAGGCTTTCCCACGGTTACCCTGTACTGATTAGGAGATGTGCCTTCTGGGCAGTCGCAGCCTTATACATGTATGGCTTGGGGAGCTCCATGTGGCTGGATTTCAGGGCCCCTAGCCCTTGGCCAGGCACTTCTGTATGGTAACCTAAACAGTGGCCTCCTCCAAACACATCATCCACCTCCTGAATGCAGAACCCATTGCCCCTAGCTGGCGGGATCAGCCTCAGCTCCCCAGCAAGTGTGAGTGTATTTGCAGCTGCGGATCCTGGTCAGGCCCCACTGGCTCAGGAAGGCCTGATGAGGACCTGCCCCACCCCCAATTGCAGCTCCGAAGCACAGGGATGCTCACCATCAGCCTGGGAAGCAAGTGTGAAGCCTACCCCTCAAACCATGCCCCTACCCTCCTGAGAGTTACTCTCCTGCAGGGGGGAATCTGCATTTGGGGAGTGGGAGGGAGATGGCACACCAGACTTGACCTCACTTTAAAATTCAACTTGCCCTCTAGGTCTCTTACTAATCCCTGCTGCCACCACCATGATGGCCTTTGGGCGCCTCGCTCCTCACTGCCTGGGCTCCAGGTCAAGTGTGTCCACTCAGCTGTCCCCCAAGGCCGACAGACAGCACAGTGGACACCAGGCTGCAGGCCTTCGGAAAGGAGGAACAACACAGAACACAGTACGCACCTGGACAACTGGAAGGGTAAAGCAGGTGTCCTCAGCTCAAGCCCGGGTCCAGGGTTCACTTTAACTCAAGGGATCATCCTTTGCCATGAGTCTCAAACTAAAGTGAGGTTGGGAAAAGCAGGAGTGTCCTATTGCTCCCGAGCCCCACCTTTGAGTTCCCAATTTTGGAGGATCTCTACTTGTCCATGTGATTGAAACTGGAGTGGCCATCAATTAATTCAACAAATACAGGGAAGGGCAAAAGTAGGTTTACAATTGTCCGTAATGGGTACCATGCAGCTCCACCCTTCTGCTCCCTGAACCTCTCACCTAACTATCAAGCCCACGGGCTTTAGCAATCTCTGGCTTGGCAACTGTCCACCCATAGCTCATGCTGTGCCGACCCTCACTCTCCCCTTAGCAGGTGTAAAAAGCCCCTTTTCACAGAGCTGAGTCTCACGTCCTCTGTCCACTGCCTACCAGTCCTTGGCTGAGCCCAGGAGTCTTGCAAACCTGCTATACAGATGGAAGAGCATCCTGTGCCCGCAGGCCCAGGTCTGCATGCAAGCTGTGGGGTTGCCTTTAATCTCTATGAGATTTGGCAAGAATATCTGTAGGAGTCTCAGGCAATTACCACACCATGAGAAAGCCATGAGTTTCTGACTAGGAAGATACAGCCGACTGGCAGGCTAGAGAACCAAGTTAGACAGCTATTTTGGGTACAGAAACTCGGTCCCACGCAGACAGCAGAAGTCTATGTTCTACCTGCCCCATGGGCTGGCACGAGCCTGAGTGATCAGGGAGGCACTAGAGGGAGAGGTAGGTATGGTGACACAGTGCCTCTCAGAGAGCTGTCCATGGGCCTGCACAGCGGCGTTACTTGTGAGCGTGGGAAATGCAAATTCTCAGGCCCCACCCAGGCCTACTGGAGTGGATTCTTGGGGAGAGAAGCAGGAACCTATTTGTTTTAACCTCTCCAGGTGATGCATATGCACAGGTAAGCTTGAAACGCACTGCTAACACACTGTACTCTTGTGACAGCTGATGTGGTTACTACAGGGAAAAATCGTAACAATTATGGCAGCTCCTGTTTTTGAATTCTATTCTGTGCTGGACACTTTTATCTAAGCTTAAACATGTTATCTCACATAAACTTCACAACAGCCCCGTGAGATACTTTTATTGCCCTAGTTTTTACAGATGAAGAAGTTACAAATAAGGTACTTGCTCAAGTTATTTAACCTTTCCAAGGCTCAGTTTCCTTGTCTGTGGGTTGGAGACAAGAATGTCTTGCTTCCCTGTTGGCTGTGAGGCACAGAGACCAACCACATCGCATGATGAGGTCAGCCCCGGCCACTGGGCGCAGCTCAGGAAATGGGTCCACAGTGTGGATGGGCAGAGGCAGCACCACTACCCCGACTTGTGGCTCACTCAGAGACCTGCCAGAGCCTGCAGGCCCTGACCTTGTCACCTAGCACTAAGTCAGCTTCACATACTGTCACGGTCTGTGTTTACCCCTCAAGGGAATACATGTTCTCATTCCTGACTCTATTCCTAGTTGATGACACCAAATCTACGTTTAGGATAACTGGATCTCAAAATGAGATGCTCTGAAGCTTGGGGGTACTGGAAAGTAATCTCCAGCTAGATCTTGGCTTCCAAGACAGAGAAACTCTCTCTCTTGGATGAATAGAAGGGGAAGATCTTTGCTTTGAGAGACCACCCAGTACAGCTGAGAGACATATCCCTATAGAGATCATCACCAGCCGCCAAATACCCACCATGTGTCAGGGACTTAAGAGGCACTAACTGCCTCACATCGGTCTGCAAGGCATCACCCCCCAGTTCTGACTCTTGGTTGACATATGACAAAAATCTAGGTTTGGAATCAGATCTAACTTGATCACTTACAGGTAGGTGTGTGACACTGGGAACACGTCATGTAAGCTTGTTGAGTCTCAACTTTCCTATCTCTAAAATGAGTTGTTGAATTAAATAAAAGTACATATAACTCAAAATACATAGTAGGTACTTTAAAATGTTACTCCCCTTGCATCCTTCTTTTCTACACTGTGCTATGCATGGCTTAGAACACAGAACAGAGATGACTATGACCAAGTCCCTTCCTGCTTGGGGCTAAGATTTCCCTCTTTTATACCCAGGCTGGGTCATTCCTCATAGTAAGGAAGCAAAAGGTCTGGGGCAGAGTCAGAGGCTGAGCAAAATCCTAAGGCCTGCAGTTTGCTAAGGCTGTGATGGAGGTGAGGCAAGGCGGCTGTCCAGACTTGGCGTGCCCACCCCGTGGATGCTGCCTTCCTCCTCTATCCATCACCCTCATTTTCAGCATTCGACTGTCAAACGTTGCCAATATGGATGGATCTTGCCAATATGAATGGAGATCAGTGGGTGAAAGGTAATTTATCTGCTGTTTACACTGCACTGAACTGTTTCCCAAACCCTTTTGAGGACTCACTAGTCCATCAGATCCACCGCACTCCCTGGTGAGTGGCAGGGCAAGGAGCTCCTGCTATCGCTGAACAAGTGGGTTCCCAGAGAGGGCCAGTGACTGGCACAAAGTCACCCAGTACATCGGTGGCAAACTCTCAAGCGAGGACCCTGGACTCCTAACTCTTCCAAGTCCGGTCCTTTCTCCATTTTATCTCAATGTCTCTCCTGTCCATGTGCCCTCTAATACTGTTGATCGACTGTAGTAGACTGAATTAAAAATTAATTTCTGATGGGTGTAGTGGTGCTCCACCATGACTGACAGATTGTAGTATTAACTAATCAAATTTTCTGTAAAAATGTGTATCTTTTGGTTTAAGCTATATACATCCAACCCAACCAGCTTAAGAAATAAAAATTCAACGGAGATTGGTGTTAGTAGGTTCCCGTAACAGGGAGGCCCCAGTGGCCAGCGTAAGGACTGTTTCCACCAGCTCCACGCTTCAGGCCTCTATGCAGACAGGTGTTCCCCTTGGCCGAGGGGGAGGACATGGCTGCCTTGGTCCTAGGCCTCCGACCTCTCGGTTTAACACTCCAGTGGAAAGAGAGCTTGTCTGCAATGGTGTTCTTTTCCTTTGGATCTGTTATTGCTAAGTCCCCGTAAGGGCGAAACAGAAAACCTGGTCAAGTTACTAACACGCCAAAGGGGTTTAAAAGTCCGAAGTCCCAAAAAGTGCAATGATGAGGAACAGTTAAATTCATGGCATCAACTTCTTTGTACACCATTTTGGTAACAGGCTGTGTTTTATAATCACGGGTTTTATCTACTATGTAGGGTGTCTGAACTGTTCAAAAGGTCAGCTATACTAAATCTGTAACTGGTATAATGTTTAAGACAGTTTAATTAATCAAGTATTATTGTTTAAACATTTGAGCACTAAAATTTACATTGTAGTGCATATTCCCCTCAAACCCAGAGTCCCTCAGACGTCAAACAATCTAACAAAAGACTCGAAAACAAAATAGATATTGGATTTTTTAACTATATAATTATTATAAAAGTATTTTAGAGGTAAATTAGTTCTCTAAATTGCATTTATTCTTTCATCATTATATGACTCAGTGTTACAACAAAACATATTTCTATTTGAAACTTTTTCAAGTCAATTTATTAAAAAAAAAAAAGGACACTGACCTACCGGAACTGGAGGAGTTATGTGGACACAGCTGGTGGGACCAGTGGTACCTTAAGCAACCCAAGGGAACAGAGAGAAAAGTCAGGCAATCCCCCCACTTCATTGACATAAATATTTGTGGTCACTTCAACTGCAATGTAAGAGTAATCTCAAGGCATTTTTGAAAAAAGAACCAAGACATGCAGTGACACGCACGGGGGCAGATGTCAGGCGGGGGGGACTCTGCACCCCAGAGCCTCCGCTTGACATCTGTGTGATGTGCGGTCCAACCAGGCAAGGTCACCTCTGCCCTGCTTCCCTCAACAGGTAACTATGCTCAAGTAACAATGTGTAAAAGTGCAAAGGATTATTTTTAATAATGTTTTTCTGAAAGTAAAAGTTCTTGTGAAAAGCAAGAAACTGCCTCAAATCTAGAAGTTGGGTACAGACTAGATGGAAGTATTGCAATGATTATGAACTCAATTTCCTTAACAACAACACCAGTCGTTACCAGGATTACGCTCTTTATTCACCTTCCTTGTTTCAAAGTCGTGGAAGGTTTTAGTCTTTACGGTACAGCACAGTGTTTGTCGCACCTGGTGCCACAGAACCAAGCCATGCACAGAAAATGCTGAGTGAGTGCCAGCATCTCCCTGCGTCCTGGAGGAGGGGCAGTTACAGAAAACCCAATTACAGAGGGGGATACCAGTAAACTGAGAAGCCCAAATCAAGGCTTCACTTTGGGCTTGCACTGTGATCCTGGGGAGGCAGGACCAAACTCAAGCCTGAGAAAAGCTCACTCTCAGGAAACACTGCACCTGACCTGGAAGCAGGTCAGCACCCAGAAGACTTGGGGTGAGCGTGCAGCAGGCTGAGGACTGTGAACCCACAGACAGGTGCGGCGTGCTCCGCCCCAAGAAGGAACTCGCCCCAGCCTTCTCAATTAGCTCCAGAAGGCCAGGGGCCTCCTTAAGTCAGCATGACTTCACTGCTGTCTGTCCTGGGCCAGGCCCTGCACTGGGTGCAGAGGACAAAGGGAGGACTCAAAGTCCTTGTCTTCAGGAAATTCAAAGTAGGATGGAAAAAAAAGCATTTATTTGTAAAGTCATTGTGATTTAAGGTGAAAGGGATACATGAGGCGTCGGACTCAGCCGTCACACAGTTCACTGCCCAGCAGAGGCCTAGAGGACACACCACACAGGTGACAGTGACACAGGGTAGCCTGTGGTAAGGACCAGAGGCTCCAAGTGCGCGCTGTGGCAGCTCAGGGAAGGATGACCTGGCACCTACTGAATAATGCAGTGGGGAAAACTCATAGCCTACTGAAGACGACTGTGCAACTTAACCTGGCCCACGTGGAAGTACTGAACCCCAGGCTCCTGGGGAGGAGGCTGTGCAGCCTCAGGGTTGCCTCTGTGGGTCCCTACCCAACAGGCAGGCTGCAAGATCTCTTACCTATGGCTCCAGTTACAAGATACCCTGTATGTATGTGAGGGCAGACTGGTGACCAGGAAAAACAGACCCAAATAACAAAGGCCTGAGGTAAATATTAGGAGCCTAGGAGTCAGGAGCACGAGCAGGACCAGCAGGCTTGAGTGGACGGGAGGCTGGTCTGGGTGCATACCCGCAGCAGGCCACTTCCTGTGCTTTCTTGCACTTCCAGTGGTGGGCCGCGTTGTTAGGTGGGTCCACTAAGGGTCCATAAACAGGGCAGACCATCTGGAAGCACAGGACCACAGCCTATATAGACCTTTCTTTATGACCCTAGAACAGGAGCGTCAAATTCATTTTCACCAGGGGGCCCTATCAGCCTCGCAGTTGCCTCAAAGGGTTGAATATAACTTTAGGACTGTATAAATGTAACTATTCCCTAACAGTTAAGCTAGAGCTCAGTGCTGCCACTGGGTAGAAACAAGGTGCCGGGCAGGATAAAACAAGGTAGGGGGCTAGATTCGGTCCGCGGGCCTTGTGTTTGCCACCTGTGCTCTAGAATATAGGCCTTCGGCCTAGTTTCTTTCACAGCCACCATCACCTGCCCTATCTTTTCCATTCTACTAACCTGGAAGTGGCTGAAACAGAGTTAGTTAGGATACCAATATCATGGTATAGATCCTCAGGCCCTGAAGGTCTTAGGTAATTCGTGCACAGCGTGGAGTGGCACAGCTGCTTCTGTGGGTCTCCTGGAGCACAGACAAGCTGCGCCAGCTTCAAGTTGCAGGCTTGGGTAGGAGCTTCCCTGCAGCCTAACCTGCTGCCCTGAGCAGGGCTCCTTCTGTTCGCACGTGTTTTGGGGAACAGCTCCAGCCTGGTATCATTTGTTCCTCACAGCAACCACCACCTGCATCACCTGTCCAGCCGAGGCCTCAGGTCTGTACCACTTTCTCTCTTCCTAAAGGTGCCAGGACATCTGTCTGCTGTTCTTTTCTTCAAAGCTGCCAGTCCCTCTCTCTTATCCTTATTCTGGATTAAGCCTGTCCCTAACCCTCTTTTCTTGCTATTCCTGAAATGTGCACGTAGGCCCTTTACCTATTAAGGGAATTTATTGCCTACTCAGGAGTTTCTCACTAAGAGAAGCAAACCCAAGGCAAAGGGGAAGGATGACGAAGAGCGCAGTTGAGGGGTGGTTGAGACATCCTGTGAGTACTGAATTAACCATCTGTGGTCCACACCTGCCTGCCACTGAAGTCCCTTCTTCAATGCCCTTCTTGGATGGTCCCAAAGAAGTTCTGAGAGTCTCGTTCTCTCCACCCTTTAGCCCGATGGCAGAGCTCAGCCATCCACCCTCACTATCCCTATCTGTTCGGAATATAGTGCTCAGGAACGATTTGCTGAACAAGAAGTTTCTACTACTCAGGAGGGGAATGCCCTCTCAACCCTCTTCCCTGCACCACCACTCTGCCCACCCCCAACCCTCTAGCTCCCTCCACCTGCCAACTTGACAGAGGTCTTCATTGACAATGGGCTTCATATTAAGAAGTAGAGATAAACAATCATTATTTCACCCAACAACTGAAGGTCCCACATGCCATGCTAAATGTAAATACCTTTTAACTGGCAATGAGGAGCCACAAATTATTTTCAACCAGGGAATGGCACCAGAACCTTACATGATGGGTGGACACTCAAGAAATACTTACATAAATGCATACAGAAGTGAATGAATGATCACAACTGATTTCTGGGAAGATGACAGCAAATTTATGAGAGGCCATACTAAGACACAGGCTTAAGCCACATGCTAAAGTGAGTGAATCTAACCTCCACTTCCCACCTGTAGGACTGTCCCCCACCTGACAGGTGCATCCTAGGCTGTGCTCTACTACTGCAGGTCTCACTGCTTAGTGTCACAGATTTGGAGTGGGGCAGAGCAAGTTTATTATTGTACTGTTTTCCATGCGAACAACTGCACACCTACTCTCCCTCCACCTTGTATTTAGCTGATATCCCAGCTTAAGGGGGACAAAAAAAGAAATCTCTCATGATAGAATTTCTCTTGCAATAACAAGACTATGGGGGAAACAATCTAAAGTAAGAGCAACCAATCCGGTATCATCCACGAGATCCATTACTAGCAAAGTTCAGCCCCAAAACTACTAGGTAAATGCTATCCCCACTTCACGAATGCTGATTTCAGCAGGTCCAAACAAACAGACCAGATTCAGCAGTTTGGGGGTATCCACAGACCTTCCTAAGTTTGGAGACTTTCTCCACCGGCCAATGAAGTGGCTGGGCCAGGACAGTGTTCTAAGAAAAAAGAACTTAGGGGAAACCCAGCAGCCTGGATAAGTGCTGGGGCAGACTCCAGGCGCAACAAAGCTGCAACAAGGACAATGAGCTACCAACACACCAACTGAGTGCCAACATCTACAAACTATCCTACCCACTGTATTTCTTCATATTTTTAATTTTCTCCCTCTTCTGGCCTCATAAACTGTGAGCTCCTTGAGGGCAGAGACTATGGGAAGTTTTGCCAATGCTTTAAAGCTGTAAGCCATGCCTTTTTCCCATCAGGAGCCATCCTAATACATGAACTTCAGGTTCATCTCTCACAGGAGTAAGGCCATCATTTTCTCCCTAGGAAATAACTAACACCTTCTGGATGAGGAAGGGCAGGCTGAGCAGAGCTGCACAGCTGAAGGAGGCAGGTGAGGTCGTCATTCTGCCATTTTGCCCAGTTCCTCTAGGACAGCCTGTAGAGCTCTGAGAACGATTAGAAGGGTGTGGGTGTTTCTGTTATTAAAAACTGAACAAACAGTCCACATCCTTCTTTATGGCATGGCACCTGCTTATAACCTCACAGCTGGATTTGAAAGATGAGACCTGTGATTTCCACTTTGAGATCAGAGTCCAACAGGCAGCCAGCACTTGCTGATCAGGGAGTAAGCAGGCGCTCTGCCTTCCCAAGGGGTAGAGGGGAGAGAAATCACATAACAAATCACCTCATTTTACACATGAAGCCCCGAGGCCTGGAGAGTTCAAGGTCCCAGAGCCAGCCAGTGGCACGCCCAGGATCACATCATGGTCTCCTAATTCACATAATTCAGTGCTATTTCCACTGCAGTAGCTATGGCAAATTTTTCATTTTACTCTTTGGAGAGGTAAAAAAGAGTAGAGCGCAGAATATTAAGTTTTGGGATTCCCCGTAGCGTCAGTAACCTCTTGTTATCCTGGCCTCCATTACCCTGGCTGTGTCTGCCTTCTACTGGTTTCCCTGCTGTGGGAAGTTGGGTCCTAAACCAATTAGTTTTGAACTACCAGGGCTGGTGCAGTCAGCTTGCACATGGCTTAGGATCTCTCGTTCTGTAAACAGGCGGAAGGCAATCTGCTCACACTCCCTCTTGGTCCCACACTCAAACAAACAGGCAAACAAGCCGTCCTCCAGAGCAGCCAAATCAGAGTAGCCACAGGGCCCGCAGTGCAAGATCCACGGGAGGGACCAGCAGGCAGCCTCTAAGGGGGTCTGGTTGAGGTAGATGCCAAGGTTAGCCCTCCGTTTCTTACTGGTCGGGTGTGAGTACAAGAGCCATGATTCTGACGGCGCTCCAGCTTCCTGTTCTGGCCTCAGAGAACTGTCCAGCAGAGGGCTCTGAACAGTGGGGGCATCTTTGCCAGTAGGGCCCTGGCACCCACGTGGGATCTCCAGGGGTCGGAAGCTCACCACACTGCCTTGGCAGCCATGCGGGGGCTCACAGAGCTGGCGGCTCAGGGCCGGCCTCTGAAAGCATTCACCGTGGTCAGTGCTGAGAGCCTCTGCTCGGCACTTGTTTGGTGTCCGGGCACTGCAATACAGCACAGGGCGACCAGCCCTCCCGATCACCTCTGCCACTTCACACTCCACTGTCACCAAGGGCTTAATGAACCTGCCATGGTGCCACGTGGCCCCCAGGTCATCACTGTAGATCATCAGGGAATGAGGCCTGGCTTTACACGGTAGTGGGAAGCAAAAGAACCAGTAAGGGATGTAGTAGGCGTATGCAGGGATGATCAGCCTCCCCGACCGCAGCTGGACGCCATGGCCTGGGCCCACAGCAAACGTGGCCCAATGCTTCACTTCTGGGCCAATGACCTCCTCCGTCAGGTCCCTCACGTCGCTCCATGAATAGCCAGAATCCCAACTGCAGATGAAGCAGAGGCGGGCAGCATTCCTGCCCGACACAATCTGCTGGCGCTCAGTGACATGGCCCTGCACACAAATGAAGAACAGGTACACACAGCCACTCTTCTGCTCCCACACGGGACAGGGGTTCATGGTCCGATGCCCAGGCAACATGGCTTCAGTCAGTGGCGTGAGTGGTCCCCACTAGACAAGAGTAAGGGAGAGAGGGAGGAGTGAGAGACTAATAGGAAGACATAAGGCTCAGTAAACGCATTAGAACTTTTCAGAGAAAAGAAATGAATGGTATTGAAATCTGTAAAATTGTGAATGCCCAAGTATTCACTGAATTCTCATGCTGTCCCCTCAATCTGAAACATTCTTCCTTACTTTGTCTAGATGCCCAATTCACCCCCCAAAATCCAACTCAGACTCACCTCCTCTAGGAGGCCTTCCATGACACTCTCTCCCCTCCTCTACCAAAGGCTTCCTCTTTGTCCATACAGGGGAGTTACAGCAATTATTATATAACATTATACTTTTTATTGTGACTGGCTCCCTCCCTAAACTATGAATCTTTTGAGGGTAGAAACCAAATTATTCTAATTTTGTATCTCCGGTGCTCAGTACATGAGAGGAGCTACATAATATTTTTAAAAGGAAGGTCGCCTCCAAAAAAAATACGAAGGAAAGGAAGAAAAGGAATTAACACAGAGCAAGGCAGACAAACATGGATGATTTAGGCATATAAAGGGAAATTTAAGACAAGGATTTTTTTTAATCTTTCCTTCCTCTACTACCCTGGGAAGGCGATGCGTAACACTGTCATTAAAAATTCAGGCATGGAATCAGAGATACCCAGTTCAAACCCTGGTTTCATCACTTATGGTGTGACCTTGGACAAGTTATTTAATCTTCTGTTACTTCAGCTTCTTCCCCAGTTAAGTGGAGGATGCAATAACATGCTCAGAGAGGAGCTGTGGTGAGGGTAAAACGAGACAGCACTAACCAGACACATCACAAACGAAAAGAGGCCTAATCTCATTGGTATATTTTAAAAACAATGTTGGCCTGGCATTTCAAGTCTCTTTTCCTATCAAAGTATCTCTGTAATTCTAAAAGAGGTAACTGACAGGCTGAGAAACTGAGCGATTCCTGACACACATATGGGACTAGGAGGACAAAACAAATGAAAGCCCTGGTAAACCGCCGTGCTTGGAGTTGGAAGCCTACAGGGCTGAATCCCAGGAGTAAGGGTGAAATGGAGGCCGACCTGCCTTCGCAACCACCGCCCTGGAAACCTGGCTGGCGTTATCGACGGCAGTGGGACATCCACGTATCCTAGAACCTAGTCATTCCACTCCTAGACAGAAACCCACCAAAAGTACATGCACACGGTACTGAAAACACGGAGGAGAGTACTCAGCACAGCATTGCCAACACACAGAATCGCTAACCGAAATATGCAACAACAGTAGAATGGGTCAATTAATTGTCATACAGTCATACAATGAAATACTTTGAAACAATGAAAATGAACAAATCACAGCTGCACACCTAATTTAGGTAAACCTCAAGAATATAATACTGAACAAATGAAGCCAAACATAAAGAATACAGAGTATATGACTGTCTAACCGCTATGCTGTACATCTGAAATACAAAATAATATTGAATGTAAGCTGTAATTAAAAAATACAGAGATTAAAAACAAACAAAACCAAATTCAAGAGCTAAAAGTCAGAATAGTAATTACCTCTGGGAAGGAGGGGGAGACATATGAGAAGCTTCTAAGTTGCTGCCAACATTCTATTTTTGAGTTGAGTGGTGAATTCACAAGTGTTGGCGCTGTCAATTCAGAACTGACATTTATGTTTGGTGCATTTGACATTTACGTTATGTCTTATGTTTTCTGTACATGTGTTATCGCTTCACATTAAAATGTTGTAAAAGGGAGTACCAAGGACACATGCCTGCATGTCTCTGTTTCCGAGTGAAGCAGCACTGGAAGGGCACATAAGAAACCACCGGCTGCGAGAGGACGTACAAGACTGGGAAGGGGAGGGCACCTTTTTACACTGTTTTTATTTCTCAGCCATGTAAATGTATCAACTAGACAAAACAAAAGAAGTTTTAAAATTTTAATTCTTATATGAAATGAGCAAAAACCATTGTTAAGCAAAATTCAGATCATTGATTCTCCGAATCATAAGGACTCAGTGCCAACTCCCACCTTACAGAAGATTCTCTTCCAAGTTTTCTGCCTGAAGACCAGTCTGTCCTTGAACTAGTCTAAGGACAAGGAACCCACCATCTCTAGAGCAGCCCGTTCCATAGCAGAGTGCCTTGTGCACTATAAACACTCCAAACATATGTGCCAGAGTCAACATAATTATTGGATAGAAGCCCGCCTTTCCCCACAAGGCTCTCTCAGATTGCTAACTAATTGAAAGCTGTTTCCTAAATCCTCCCAAATGGCACTGTTACTCTCTGGAAACCGTCATTGCAAAGAAATGCACTTCACTGTCTGATTGCATTTTAAACCCCTAGAGGCAGGACCTAAGTTCTCTGTGACTCTCTGGACTCAAGGTCCAGAAGGCCAGCAGTGGGAGGGGCAGCCAGGCCTGCCACCAGGCCTGCCTTGAGGACAGGAAAAGCACCCACAGAGCAAACTCCAGGGCCTCACGGAAGCCATTAGAGAGAGGAGATAAAGCACTGTGGATGTCAGAGAAGGAAAAGACCATTTCTGGCTGTGGAGAATCCAGGGAGAAACCTTTGATTCCGCTCACTGTTGACCCACTCACTTCAAGAATCAGCTTAAATGGTGTGGCCCACACAACAGCTTCTCTGATCCTCAAATGCATTTGAACTCCTTCTTCTAAGGAAATAGCCCACAAGGGACTGAACCCGCCTTGTGATACTTCGTGGATTCTGTACGGGAGATTCGGACACTTACATCTATGCACAGCTCTACTTTCTCTCTCCAATTTGGCTGTGCAATTTCTTTGCAAAGAGAGGCCAAAATCTGTCAACTTTTTTATCACCTCCCTCCACACATCCCCCTTGATTTAATGCCTAGTACATAGTAGGTGCTCAATAAATGTCTGTTGAAGAAAGGAGGAAAAAAAAGAGAAAGGAAGAAGGGAGACAGGAACGGAAGAGAGGGAAGAAGAAAGAAGGGAACGAGGGAGGGAAGAAGGAAAGGGAAGAGTGAACGGAAGGGTTACAGAAGTGCTCTCGGGTAGAAACAATGTTCTATAAACAATGTCCACAGGCTCCTCTCCCTCTCAAGTGCCAAGAAGAGGCCTAGAGAGTAGATTTAATATCCTACTGTCGCTCTGGGGATAGAGCCCTTATCTCCTCAGCATCCTGTGTGGAAACCAACACTTTATGGGTAGCACTGAATGGGTGGGCGTTTCCAATGAGAAGTAACTCTGCTGCAAACTCATTGGGATGATTACGACTGCTCAGATCAGGAACCTTGAGCAGGATGCAGCACAACATACGAAGTCCATCAGCACTGCCACTGCCTTTAGGAACAGGGGGCGGGGAAGTACTGGGCAGGTTAGTCAGGGAAATTAGAAGCTCAGCCATCCTTAGTAACTGAAAGGAGAAAATGACTTGGGCCTGCTATGTCTAAAATAAAGTTTACATGAAACTATAAGAAACAGTAAACTAAAGATGAAAGCATTAGAATCCAAATAATCTCAACCAGTTGCAGCAATGAAACATAAACAAGCTGAGGATTAACACAGATAAAACAAGTCTTGGGCTTAAAAATCAGGATGGAGAAACATGATTAAAGAACAACAAATGCAGCTCTGGCTAATGTAGCTCAGTTGGTTGGTGCTGCCCTGCAAACTGAAAGGTTGCTGGTTCAACACCTAGTCAGGGAACATGCCTGGGTTGTGGGTTCAGTCCCCAGTTGGGGCACATGCAAGAGGCAACTGATCAGTGTTTCTCCCTCACATCAATGAATCTCTCCCTTTCAATTTCCCTTCCCTCCCCTCTCTCTAGAACCAATAAATGGGGGGGGGGGGGATAACAAATGTAATAGCCAACAAGTGTAAAAAAATACTCAATGTTGTTAATAATGAGGGAAGTTTTTGATATCACCTCTTACCCATTAGGATGACCACTGTCAAGAAACACAGAAGAAGTGCTGTCAAGGACAGAGAAACTGAAACACTTATTTGATGGGATAAGAAAACAGTGTGCTCACTGTAGAAAACAGTATGGAGGCTCCTCAAGAAATTAAAAACAGAATCACTACACGCCCAGCAGTTCCATGTCTAGGTGTAGAGTCAAAAAACTGAAAGCACCATCTCAAAGGGATGGTGAGACACAGACATTTTCCCAGCACGTTCACAGAGCACTAGTCACAAGAGCCAAAAGGTGCAGCCCAAGTCTGCACTTACAGAAGAACGGATAAACCTATATGCAAATCAACACACAATGGAATATTATTCAGCCTTTAAAAAGAATATCCTGCCATACACTACAACATGAACCTTGAGGATATTATTCTAAATCAGCAATTTTCAACCTTTTTCATCTTGCGGCGCACATAAGCCAATTACTAAAATTCTGCGGCACACTGAAAAATATATTTTTTTACCAATCTAACAAAATAGGTATAATTCTGATTCACTCACACTGGGTAGCTATTGTTGTGTTGGCTATTGTCATTTTTTTTATTTAACAATCTAAGGGGAAAGAGGCAAGTGCCCCTGAACAGTCAGGTTTGCATGTTTTAAAAAGTCTTGTGTCACACCGTTGAAAACTGCTGTTCCAAATGAAATAAGCCGATCACAAAAAGACAAACACTGCATGAGTCTACTGAGATACCTAAAGTAATCAATCTCATAGAAACAAAGCAGAATAGTAGTTTCTACAGACCGAGGAAGGGGGAAATGAGGAGCCGTTCAGTGTGTACAGAACCGTAGTCATGTGCAATGACAAAGTTCTAAAAAGATGTGCATACAGTTAACAATACCATAATGTACACTTGAAATAATTAAAGATGGAAAATTCCCTTAGGTGTATTTTACCACAAAAGGTTTTTTTTAAAAAAAGAACAATAAATGCAAAAAAGACTTGGATGTTTTAGCTATCATCCTAATATTAGTTAACAGTGTTATGCAGGATCAAAAAAGTACATACTACTTTCCCCTGGGATACGTGAAAAGGATACAAGGTGGGAGAGCCGCCTCACTGCTGGGGTGGCCCCATCCTTGGGGTCCAAGTTCAATTCTGAGCACCATTCTTTGAAAAAGGACACTAACATCCCAGACCAGATCCCAAGGAGGATCATCATAGTTTTCAAGGGCCTGGAAACCTGATCCAGACTGTGGCCAAGAAAGAAAGACTCTAAAAGAACTAGAATTGTCAAGTCCCCAAAAACAGAGGACTCAGAGGGTATGAACACCATTCGCAGGTACGTGGAAGAGATGTCTCAGCAAAAGGGACTTCATTACGTATAAACTCACTGCCCCAGAAGGCGATACAAGACCCACAGGTAATTGTAGAGGAGTGCAGATCATCTCATGCCTCCAAAATAACAGGTGCCACAGAATTTGAGGAGCTGTGTAAGCAGGCCCTTTATAGAAGATGACTAAAGTGGAGTTCCTACTATGTATTATAATTGCTATTATTACATTTTGTAGGTGATGAAACAGAACAGAGGCAAGTATCCAAGGTCACACAGCCAATAAATGGTTAGATCTTCCCTGACTTCAAAGCCAGGCTCTTAACCAATGAGCTATTAGTAGCTACCAATAGATCACACAAGATTTCTATACTGAGAAAGAAATTGGACTGATGATTCTTCTAATTTCAAGATTCTATAATTGAGTAAATCAGAGACAAAAGCGAATAAAGCATGAGGTAGGAAGAAGAGCAGCAGCAGGAGACTGTTGTTATCCCACAACCCCTCACCTGCTAGTTGTGGCCTTGAACAAGCTACCTACCTCTCAGAGCACCAGGATCCCTCATCAGCAACCCTGGGCTAACAGTGTTTACTTTCCTGGGTGACTTATGAAGATGAAAGAGAATGTACATGAAAAGGACACAGGAACCATGGAGGCTTCTGAAATCAGAGACCAAGTCTGAAGCCTACTTCTACTCCTTTATCATAACTGTGTGACCTTGAGCAAGTGGCAAGCTCTCTGAGCCTCAGTTTTCCCATCTGTAAAATGTGATAGACAATTCCTATGTGTCGGAGTGGCTGAGAAGATCCGTACGCCTTGGCACACGGTAAGTACTCAGTAAGTGAGAGGCAACGCTGTTATTGTTTCTCCCCCTCAAATCCCACATAGGGCTCTTCCTGCACTGATAGGAAAAGGCACAGACTCTGGGTGCTCTGAGCAAATGTGGAGAGAAACTGAGGCCCAGGCCCAGATCGAGGATAAGGAGTCACCTGTACTGAGTGTCCAGTCCTCAACCCTCGCCTCAGCACCAGGTGGAGAGCATCCTCATCCCTGCTTGTAGAGCGCTTCTCTGCAAAGGCCAGGAAGGTGTGGGTGGGGGGCACGTAGATCAGGGCTGGGATCCGGTAGGTGATCCCTCTCTTGTCTTCCTGCTGGAACAGAGGGGTGTTGAAGGAGCAGGACGTCACTTCTTCCATGACCTCTGCAAGGATAGGAGGCAGCTAAATGTGTATCCATATCCAAATGCTGGCCTGTATATAAATTCTGTTCTATCACTCCATTTCTGGAGGTCACCAAGAGGCAAAGATCTACTCAAATGTTTACCTTTTTTTAATACGAAAATAACACCATGTTGTCAACAGCACAAAGCCAGCAATATGCATTTTTATTTGACAAATCTATCCTCCAGGCTGCGGGAATCCTATGCAGCCTGTGTCAAGCAGGTTTCTCCAGAGGTTCTGCATATGCTTCTGCCAATCATCCAGGGGTATTACCAGCCCAGAAAGCTTCTAATGCCAAGTGACATTTCTTCACTTGGAGGCCATTCAGGTGACATAAATATAAACCCAAATCCATACAAGCAAAATGCCTGTGTTTAAGAACTCTCTGAGGAAACTTTTCCCCTCTACTGGAGCCTAGGATAAAAGGCAATCTTCTTTGTCATCTCTGCATCTGTAGCAAGACTTTTTTTTTCCTAGTCCACCCCACCAGAAGGTGCAGGCTTTCAAGGGACTTCATGCAAGGATCTCAGTTCCAACCAGAGTCTCTGACCCCTGCAGGCCCATAGTTTCATGCACTCTCTATTAAAGCCCAAGCTTCTAGTAAGTAAGGCCAGCAAACAAACAGGGCAGCTGGGGTCAGGTAAAGGGGCTAACTATAACTTCTCTGGTTTTCAGGTTACTGTTGGTTTTTAGGCCCCTAGGGAGTTCTCTAACTTTCTGGCAAATTCAGCTTAAAGGGCTTTGTTATATTTTATACCCCATTTTACAGGTTAGATACCCAGCCATAATCCTGAAAATGGAAGTCTCTAGGTACATTTCTCAAAGAAAATCAGGTGTTCTACTTCCTGGAGGCCCAAAAGGGAATCAAGCTAGCCAGCCAGAACCAGGCTTAAAATTTCTTTTTTTTTTTTTTAACCTCTCTCACCTGTCATCCAAACCCTATCTTACATTTGTAAAAATTATCAGGCTGTAAGAATGAGGCCCATAAGATCATAATCATTTATTTAATCAATATTTCTGGGTGCCTTCCAAGTCAGGCCATAAGATAGGTGCTTAGGAGACAGAAATCAGAGGCCCCTGCCATCAAGAAACCTATATCCTGGGGAGGGAAAGAGACACAGGCAGGGACAATTACAACACCGTGTAGTTAGTGCTACTTCAGAGGTGAACCATGAGAGCATGCGGGAAAACAGAAAAGGGCAGCTGTCCAGGTCGAGGCAGCAGAGGATTTCTGGAGACATGACAAATGAACCAAGGGCGCTCCTGTCTTACATATCCTTATTCTCTGGGTCTGGAATATTCTTTCAGGTAGCCACAGACCTCACTGCCTCACCTCCTTGTACTCCGTTCAAACATTATCCAATCGGCAAGGCCTTCCCTGATAACTCCCCTGAGCTCCTTAGCCCCTTTCCCTGCTCTCTTCTCCATGCATTACGCTGACCCATACATTATACTTGTTAAACATATACTAAAAAACAGACACTCTATACGGGGAAGGGATATGTCTGTGCTATTCTGTTACACCTCTATACCTAGAACCATGCTTGGTAATTGATAGACATTTGACTAATATTTGATGAATGGGTGAGCTAGATCTTAAACTGGGTAAGCCAACTGAAGGGTAAAAAAGAGAAGGGGAGGGTGGATGTGAAAAGGCTACAGGTGAGAGAAAATACAATGAGCCGTGGGGATCCTCAGCAGTCCAGTATGACCGTCCTGGTCAAAAGCTGTGAGCAGACATGGGCCTGAAAGGCGTCAGTAGAGTCCAGATCCTGGGAGGCTTTGATGCCTTATTAAGGTGTTTATCCCACAGATGGGAGCCACTCAAGAGTTTCTGGCAAAGGAGTGGCATGACCAAGTCTGCATTCAGTCTCTCAGGTAGCCTTGTGGACAATGAACTGATGGGAAAGCTACACTGCCTGTGGCTGCATCCTCCCGGTGTCAATAAAGACCAACTTTCATCAGCGGCATATGGCTATCATTTAGTCACTATTTTTCACTTAGAACCACAGCTCACTATCATGAGGGGTATGAGGAGGTGGTCTCCTGAGTCCAGAAGAAAAGCCTCCCCTCACCCCCATTTTGGGCTCTCAACAGCAGAACTGAAAGGCATGGTGAACTGCCTTCTTTGCACAAATGTAGAGCGTCACTCCCTCCCCCCAATTCAGGCTCCCCTGCCCAGGAGGAGCAGACGTTCTTTTAAGTAAAAATCAGTCCCTGAGCCCAACTGGTATAAAGGTTGGGAACACAGAATTTGACCCAGGCCAGGACAGCAGGACTCTGGGCATGTTACTTAACTTCTCTGTGCTTCAGGATCCTCATTTATAAAAGTCAATAGAGTGGTTAAGAGAATTAAGTGAAAAAATTGAAGTGGCTGTTACAGGGCCCATCCCATAGTCTGAGCTCCATTTATGACAGTTATTATTGTTAGACTGTCAATCCCTGCATATTCTTCTACTTGCATTCCTTGAAATCTGTGGAGGAGGAAGATGATTGTAACAATAATCACAACTTCCCTTCTTAAAAGCATTTAAATCCTTCTGCATCTCTGGAAATTCTATTTTAAACTCTTATAAGCTAACACTTTGATTATAAGTTAATAATATCAATGCTATTAATCATTAGCTGTCAAATGATCACTAGTTGACACTGAAATAAGACGAATAAAGCACAGGATAAGCATCAAGTGGGGAGAAGGGACTAGGAACAAGGAAAGGCAGAGGAAGTGGAAAGAGCACCCAAGAACAACTGGCCATATGGGACCAGACTGGGGCCCCAGCTCTATAACTTTATTGTGTGACTTTGTGCTAGTCACTTGATCTCTCAAGGTCTTGGACTCCTTGCCTGTAAAGTGTGGATAACAATAACACCTACCTAAGATGATCGGTACAAAGAACCACTGTAAACTGCTTCCTAAGCTTTAAAGCACCATGAATAAAGGTCTTTACTATAAATTTTGATGTCCTCACTATAAATCTTGATATCTTCACAATTTCATTTATGGCTTTGCTATCCCTACAACAATTACAGTCACTATCATTAGTTTTCATCATGATTATGCTGATCATGTTGATGACAGTGGTAGCACAGGTGGTGGTGACTCTGGCACTGACACCCAAACTATTTCACACAAACCATACACTGGGAACTAGGGATAGAGAAGACTCTGATACGTTTCTGCTTTAGAGTTGTTCATTTTAGCAGAGAACTCATATTATTAATTGCTACTTTATATAATCACCTTTCAATGAAATCCTCTCTGCTCTCTTACTGGGAGAGAGGATAAATGTATCAACAGCATGGACTTTGAAGCGTGACTTGGCTTTTATACTTACTAGCAAATTGCTTTATTTCTGAGCCCATTTCCTCACTTATAATGGAAATAATGCTACCTATTTCTCAGGCCGTAAGAACAACGTAATTCCATAGATTCCCAGTTGAACACGCAGAAAAGCTCCCAAAATCATTTATTCACTCCTAAACAACTACTGTTTAACGAGCACCCATAATATGTCAGGCTTTTGGAGATCCTGTAGACCAAACCCTTCTCGTGGTTACCACCCATGGCAAAACTGAGGCTCATGGAGATAAATAAACTTATGTGAGGCCACTCAATGAGTCGGTAGCAAAACCTGGATTAAGACCATGGTCTCCCTTTAAGTTCCAGGTCAGGGGTCTCTGCGGCCCACACACCTCTCTCTAATAAGAAAGGTTGTCCGGTCTCTGTTCCCTTTCATCTCTAAAATGATCATTCTCAGCTTTAAGTTTGGCTTCTGTGGAAGGAAAACAAAAACAGAACTAGCCAAAATTAGTCTTCTGGCTAGGTCCAAGATGCTAACCGACTGGGGTGGTTCTGACTCAATATTCTCTCAAAACTGTTCTCTCGTAATCCCAGGTGATGCTGCAAAACTAGTCCCCCTAGTCACATTGCCCCACTTTTCGGGCAATCTCCCCAGTCTCCCAAACCCGCTCACCTGCGCAGGAAGGACCGAGGTTCCTCCGCCTCTCACGGTAGAGCTGGCGCGCATCAGCTTGTGGACAGCAATGCCTGGGAGACTGACCAAGGCTGGGGAGATGGAAGCAGGAGAAAGAGACTACGGACACAAAAGCCAACCACCAAAAGCGAAGAAAGTGGGAGACACACACACCGAGAGGCAGTGAGGCAGTGAGGCACAGAAGCAGACATAACCATAACACGGAGAGGAAGTGGAGGCGGGTCGCTCGGAAGCAAGAGCCGGCTGACAGTAGAAAGCAACTGCTGGCCGAGGCTCGGCCCCTTGCGTACAGGCGCAGCAGAGGCCCCGCCCCCTCGCTGTGCAGCCTCAGATGGCGCAAGGTACCTGCCCCTTCCTCTGTGGCCACCACCCCCTCAACCCACCCAATTTCAGTTCAGAGCCTAGACCTACCACAGTTCCCCTCCGCTGTGCAGCTCCCTGGCTCCGCCCCCAGCCTTCCATTTTCTCCCCCTCCACCCTCCCCTCAGCCCTGTATTTCCACACTCTATTGGTTGCCAGTTTGTAGATAGGTTTGACCGCTTAAAATCTCCCCGGACAGCCTGAGTCAAGCAAAGGTTCTGAACTTCAGAGGGGACTCCACAAAAAGGTTCAGGGAGCCAGATAATTGGACCACCCTACTAAAAAAAAAATATTGTAATAATGTTATATATGTGTGTGTGCATGTAATATATTGCATAAAAATAAGATTAGGTTATAACTCACTGAATAAAACTTGAGTCAAGATTTATATGAATAATTGAATAAAGAAGTAAATGGGGAAAAGGACAGCTCTTCCTGTAGAATTCCAATTCATAAGTGTAGACTTACGTGCATACTGTTTGGACACAGTATGGTTTATGCTGAACCTTTTTCCTTCTGGGATTCTGGAAATTTGGTTTGTACTAATCAGAGAGTGCCCGCATGACCAGCCCCCAATAAAAACTGAGGGTGCTGAGTCTCTAAAAGGTTCATTAGGCAGAAACATGGCACACACGCTACATTTTCATTGCCAGGGGCAAGTGTGGTTAGTGTGTTCCCCGAGGAGAGTGAGAGAATATAAGAAAGCCTGCACATGGATGTCTCCATGCTTCACCTGTGCCTTCTCCTTTTATGATCTGATGTGTGTCTTTACTTCATTGCTGTGATAAACTTTAGCTCTGAGTATGGCCATATGCTGAGTTCTGTGGCACCTTCTAGAGAATCTCTAAGCCCAGGGGTGGTCTTGGGGACCCTCACCCAGCTGCCATATAAAAAGTCTTAAAACATGTAAAATAATACCACAGGTTGTCAATGGACACACATGTATGAAGAAAATGTATAATTATAACTACCAAATTCAGGGTAGTAGTTTCAGGAGTACAGGAAGTACAGTATGATTAAGGATAACCAAGGGCCTTTGATTATATTGGTAACTTTTTAAAAGTTGGCAGTAGGTTCATAGGTGTTCATTTACTATTTTTAATGCTTATTATGTCTGAAATATTTCATTTTTTAAAATGAGCCTATACAAAGTCCTAGGGTTCTTCACCAAACTTCTCCAAACTCACAATCAATTCTGTGGATCACCAAATTAATTTTAGAAAAATATTTAAAGGTAATGACAAATCTCTCTCAATTTGCTCTTCTTTGACCAATGGTCTCAGTCTTTTTTATGCATGAGGCAGTGAGGTTTAGTAGCAATTTCTATATTTGGAAGTGAAGAGACATTAGCTCCAATCCTGACTGCCTACTTCCTAGCTGAGGGCACTTGGCAAGTTTTTAATTTCTGTGCCTCAGATTCCTCATCTGTAAAATGGGCACACTTGACCCTACTCATGATGTATTTCATGATTTGAACCAAACAGGTTTCACTCCCTGTATGAGGACCTCCCAGTTCTCCATGCTAAGACAGTTACTCTTATTCCAGTCTCCACTGCACTTTGCGGATGGCTTCTGATGAATTTTCTGAGTATGTCATTCTGATTAGTCAGAATAGGGATCAAACCCATTCTAATGGTCTCATACAGCATTTAATTAAGGATACTGTCAACAGAACACAAAGAAACAGGATGAGACCAACCTGCAGAAACAACATCGATCATACAAGGCCTAGACCAAACCAGCTGGAGAAACAACCAACCACACACAAAACAAACAGGCAAGCAAGCAAACACCACCACAAGCTATCAAGGTCTGCCTTACAAAGCAACACGGTATACCTGCCTTGGGGTACAAGCAGGATGCATTGGTTATTACAGACTCTATCTTGGCCCAAAAGGAAGTTGAGAATTCTATCATTCATAATCATACTGGCCAGTGAGGCTCACCTGAATGCATTCCAGGGCTAAGGTGGTATCATTGGATGGCTTCTGCTAAAGTCAGGAACAAATTCCACATCAACATTTCTAAAAGAATTACCATTAAGATAGAGATAAACTCCCACAGAGTGTGCAAAAATAAGTCAGTCACCCCTCCAGGAGCTGCCCTGTGGAACCATCTCCACAGTCATTCAATGGCTACACAATCTGCTGGTGATGCTTCCCTAAGGACCTGAAAGTTGCCGAAGACCCTTTCTATGGTGCAAGACACATTTTTGGGGAGGGAAGCAAGTTCATGCCTGGCTTCCACACAGGAATAATCTGTGTCTACCGTGGGGACATATATGAGGGGGGCACTCCAAAAAACTTGGTATTATCTTCTGGAAAGGAGGGCTTGTAGTACAGGCTTTCCCCGCTAGGTGTGTTCTAGGAACCCATCTGTATCAGTGTATCATTTGGCGTTGTGAGGGGCTGCATTTCCCTTCAGTGAATTTTTACGACTCTTTCAACATGTTTGCCCATTTCACAATGGGTGATTTACGAGTGCACCTGCCCACACCATGCTGAGTGTTCAGCAGTTTTTGCCAAAAAATGGCATGACCCTTATGCCCCACCCTCCCTATTCACTTGATCTTGCCCTGAGCAAGTTTTTTTATGTTTCCCTGGATAAAAAAAATGACCTCAAAGGGAAATGTTTTGCTGATGTGGGAGAGGTGAAACAAAAAATGGCAGAAGCACTAAAAGGCATCAAAATCGATAAGTTCAAAAACTATTTTGAACAGTGGAAAAAACTTCTCCATAGGTGTATTGCATCAAATGGAGAGTACTTTAAAATGAAATTTTAACATGTAAGAATGCACAATTTTTTATAAGTAAATTTCAGTTTTTTGGGGCCCCCCATATGATGTCTGTTTACAATCATTGGAGCCCCCACATGGGACCTACATCATTCAGGAGGTACAGATTGAGGGTGTCCCTAATGTAGTCTCGTGGCCTCAGAGCTCCCAGTGCAGACAGAATAACTGAAACCAGTCCTTATTGTGGAAGACTGCCTGACAGTGATTAGTCTGACCTGTTCCATACATTCACACTGCCACCCATGTGCATTTGGCTACCTCATAGGATGACTGAGTAATAGCTACAAGAATGGGGGATGGGAAGTTCTGGAAACTGTGACATGGTTTGCATGACATATATAGGAGTTGAAGTGCTGACTTTCCAAGACTTCTCAGTAGAATAAAGGAAATGGCTCTCCAATTGTACTCAGCATCATCTGGTGGGGGGTGGCAAAACCAGCGATCAGTCAAGTTTAAGGAGCTTGCAACAGTTTGGGAGAGGTGTACTAGGCCATTTTCCTCTGAGAGGAAGGCTCTAGGGGTGACTTTTTTTGCCAAGTGTTGTATCTAGGACCATGTCAAACCAACAAGAGAATCCAAGTGATTCTCTTGTTCAGCAACCAGAATTCTGGTTCAGCAACCAGAATTAAATGTGAATACTTACTAAGGCCTCCTTTGTTCCAAGGTGCCACCTGGTGGCTGTGGCAACCAGGCTGGCCTGGGGCTGCTGTTAAGGCAAAGAAAACATCATGCCCAGCAATAGTCATGGCAACAGAATACTGAATTTAAAAATAAATTTATACAAAACTCTCCAATCCCTCATTCTGATCATTACCCAGTAAGCAACTATAATTAAATTTTATGTCTCTACTGGAACACGAGATTCCCAGATATTTGGTTAAGCATTATTCCAAATATGTTTGAGGGTGTCTCTGGATGTGATTACTATTTGAATTGGTGCTCTCAGTAAAGCAGACTGCCCTCTGTAATGCTGGTGGGCTTCATCCAATCTGTTAGAGGGCACAGTAGAACAGAAGTCAGGGAAATGGTGAGCTCTCTGCCTATTTGCAAGCTAGAACATCTGCCTTCTGCTTCTGGACTAGAACTTATACCACCAGTTCTCCTGGTTTTCAGGCCTTTGGTCTCAGACTGGAGCTATACCCTGGAGTCTCCTGGCTCTCCAGCTAACAGACAGCACATTGTGCGACTTCTCAGCCTCCACATTCGTGGGCTCATTTCTTATAATACATCTCTTTACATATACACACACATATCCTATTCGTTCTGTTTCTTCAGAAACCCTAACAGCAGTCAAGAGAAAGTGACTACTTTCTGAGGAAAGCCACATTTAATGACCAACAGCCTTTACTGAAGTGTCTTGACTCAGATGAGTTTAGAGAAACCTTTTGAGTATATTTTTTGAATAAGCTGTTCGTTCCAACAGTCACCAATACTAGATGCCTGTGGACCAGAGAGTGAAAAGCCCATCAAATACCTTGACTATCAGCCCACCACTAAGTGGCTTTAGTAATTAAAGTTGTATTACCATCAGACTGGGTGTGTCAAAAACAAAAACATGAGACAGATTAGTTTGAAGACCAGAGTAGTTGGTTGGAGTTGACTAAACCAGAAAAACGCTAACCTGAAACAGTGTCAGCAGTGGTGAGGTACTACTGAGGGAGCCAAGGGTCTGATATAGTCAGTGAGCCAAACGAGTGGGTGGCGGCCAGGCTCTGTGCCACATGGCCTCACTCATGGATAGTCCAACAGGACTTTTGAAAGCAGTCAGTGTGGCATGAAGCAGTAGCCTCTTAATCAGAACCAGAAGTGCTTTCCTTTGCACCCACACTACTACAATGGTGGGTGAAAGGCCCTGTCTAGTCTAATGATGACCCAGGGAGCAATGGTGGTGATCTGAGTGGTACAGGCTCTGGAAGCCCCGGCTTGATTCCAGTTGGTCTCATCCAACAATGGCCAATGCTGTGGGCATCTACAGGAGTGACCCAGACAGTTCAATTAATAGCTGTAATTCATTTCTGATTGGTAGCCCCAAAGAAAAGTGTCTTTGACAGTCTGTAGTCTTCCAAGTGACAGACCAGAATACTAAGCCACTGGCGAGAGCCCAAGAGTCAGTAAAAATATATCTATCTGGTTCCTAGGAATTATCTGG